GGGGGGACTGAAATAGAAAATGCACTAGATGTCCATTGATAAACCCATGATTTCAAGGGGATTCAACTCTAAATTTTCTACACGCTGTAGCCGGACTGGTCAAAGCATAGCTATTGAATAGTCGAAAGCAAGTCAATTTCTCCAAAGTAATTGTGTCTGCTTAGCAAAAACTTTCAGTTTCGATTTTGATGGAAAGATCTCATTACGGCGTTGATCTCAATTTTCAGATACCCTTAATTGAATTTTATCGGACCACCATTGTCGCTATGTCAAGCTCTCCCCGTTTTCAATTTGTAGGCCTGATGAGAGCCAAAAAATGCATTTTTTCTAGAAATCGCTTTCCGCAATGAAACAGGTCAAAAGTGGGGTGCCCTGATTGATAGCTTCCAATTTGCTTAATCTTTGCGTATAGCTGGTAATTTCTCTCTATCTGGATAACCTAGCATAAATTCCCTTTTCATCTAGCCCTTATTTTGAAGGGATCTCTCAGAATTGAGTCCAAACAAGCCAATGTCATTAAGGGCAACACTTGGCAGTGGACCGTTTCCATATGAATAGAGTATGACCACATTGAACATTAGCTTAGGCCCACTGTCTCATCTGATATTCCATTTTCCTCGCCTGCTGCTGAATAACTCCGGGAATGATGTCTAGATCCCACCAAGTTACTTCTACAAGACCAATAACTAACCAAAAGCTGATGATTTGTCGAAATAAAAATTTAATTTCAGAATCGTTTGAGACTGCCTGTGTGATCGAGGAAGACGTGGAGCTCCATCCGTTCGCTTACCGCACTCATGCTCATCGCCATGGCGTTGAAGTCGCCGGATGGGTGGTCAACGAGGTTCGTTCAATTGATTGATCCAACCGGATCGCGTTTATTCTTAATAGCCAAGGAGGGGGCTTCAAGTCTTCCATTCAGTCTGCTTTCCTAGAACACATGGTTATCCGTGATCACCAGGCATGATTCCGAAAGTCTCTTGGTCTCGGCTGAGATCATTCAGTGTTTAGTAGTGTATAATACAATTAGTAAAAGAGTAGCTGCAATGACTACTCTTTCAGAATCCTCCTAATCTTCTAAGCCAGTGTCGGGGTTCTATTGTCGTATAGTTTGGGTGGACAGTTTAGCGAAGACTGCATTCAGCCTCCATACTCAAGTCACGTAGCTACAACTCGATGAATTATTCAGGAACATTTTCTTACGTGAGCCGAGACACTAATAATGTGGCTAGCCGGTTACGTTGAAAAACCAGCAAATTGAATTTTTTTCTTAAACAAAAAGCCTCTCATCTAACCATCTGGGGGAGATAGAGAAAATTGAAGGGGAGGGAAATTCAATTCCTAATATTAACCTTCAGTTTCTTTGAGGAATACAACGTACGAACTAGAAGTGAGCTAAATTAATGCTTTAAACATGCGTATTAATCGATGAGATGGTTCACATTGAATCCACGGAGATGCTGCACGTACGTAATACTCGCTCAACAGAGACATTGAATGCATATTCGAGTCAGCAGTAGGACATGATACCGCTGAGGAACAAAAAGAAAAAAGAATTGAATATGAAGGAAGAAACAAAACATTGCACACTGAACAAATCCTGGAATGGTTTCAGAACGAGAAGGGTGAAGACGAGTGGTTCCTAATCGGTAGACGTGATCCTCAATTGCCACAGATGTTCGCACCGGTCAAGAACACCTCGCTGATTGTACGCCAGGGTGATATGCTTGCTGCCAGGTAAGTACCGATTGTGTATCATGATGATAAGCAGCCAAATATCTCAACACTTATTTACCCAGTTATTTAGATGCATCCTGAAAAACAATGAAGACCGTGTGATCAAGATGGGTCCAACGGGTGAAGACGAGATGTGCAATTTCTACATGATGTATTGGACCGACGGCGATAGGGTAATCAATATATACATTTATTATAAGACGCCTTTACTTCTGTTGACTTGGGCTTTTGCGGCTATCCTATTCAGACTGTCATTTTTTGATTCTACTTTATCTTTGAAAGTTTTGAGGAAAACCGTAAACAGCTGCCAACTTGTGATATATTAAAATATTTTGAAATCCTCACTCCTCACTAATGACCAGTGTGGCGTGGAGCTTTCTGGGTGTTTCTATTTAACGCGGAATTGCTTCGAACTTTTACAGACTTAATAACCGAGGTGCATTTGGTAGTTGAGGACATTGTGGGAAAACGGCATACATGAAGCTGCCGCTTTAGAAAGATGGATGCATTTTGGTCTATTCACAGATTCAATATGACTGACTAAGATGTAGGTAAACGAGAAACTGGTTATAATGTAGCTGCTCTCACCATAAACGCTCAGCCCTTCCCTCTCTATTTTTGACAAGGGGCATGTAGAAGGTGTGAACCTCTTTTTTAAGTAAAGGGTAAAAGGAGGCCCATTTCATTCAAAACCGAGGAAGACTCCTTACGATTAATTTCGTAAACGCCGTGCTTAGTACAGTACAAGTACCAGTTGCAATTATATTTCAAGTACATGAGGAAAATATCTCAGTGATGACAAGTGAATATGAGCTTTTTCAGACCATGAAGGACAACGTTTGCTACTCTCCAGGAGCTCCTCTTTATCATTGGAGTTCGGAGGCTGGGCTGAATCACATTCCAAAGTGAAGTGTAGGTGACTGCCATCATGTTGGTGTGTACCATATCGACGGGCGATCGAGGGACTATGAGAAAGTGTGTGTGTGTGAATCCAGAGAAAACTATCATTCAATCATTGTATAAACTGTTGCACTTTGTTTACACACTCATATACACATAATGATTACGGTATCTCTAATACTGCATTAGAGACTTGTTAACTATTTCAGAAGTTTTTTCCGTATCTCCTTCCATGAACGGAGGATGGGAATGTCACGCATATGATAACGATCCGCTAAATTTGGGTTGCAAGTGAATTTAGCATATTTGGCAGCACGGGGACGACAGCTGCAATGTCCTTATTTTAACTGCAACAACACCATTTTTGCGTTATGTTTTGGTCGCGACAGCAACGAAATGCTTACAGTGCTGCAGACAGGAAACATTAAATATCAACTGCAAGGGAGGAATTATCACTGAACTAACGTTACTTCCACTTCAACTTGAACTCGAGCAAATCTATATTTATAAACAAGTCGGTAGAGATCAGAGAGATATATGATGAGAGACCATTGAAAGAGTAAATTAGTAATGTAACGTTAGGTACCAACATTGTAGATTGCCGAGAAAGTTCTGCTACAATCCTTCACTACCAAGCCTGCGTCATGAAAAGGCCGAATTACATATTTAGTGTACTAAATTCAAGAAATCAAAAAGTTTATCTATCGTTATAAAATCTTTGTACATTGGATACCACATGTAGACTGCGTTACTGAACCACGTAAAGGCTGATGAAGAAATGCGAAAAGGATACACATAGCAGCAACGCATTCTATTATATAAATTCCATTTGGTTTGTTTCTGTATTTGGGTGAAAAAAGGCCTATAATGCGTTTTGGCTCGTGTGTAAATTTTCCGGAACAAAAAACGAAATCCAAAATAGATCTGTCGTTACAGTGCACAGGAAGAAATTTTGAGTTGCAAGCATACACAGCTCTTTATGGAGGATAACCATTATCTCAATTTCTGAAACAAACCCACTGATTTCCTCCATGGCATAGAATGCATGGCCTACAACTAAAAACATATTTAGTACTGGTACCACATCAACTCACACATAGAGTTACTTATGAGATAGTTCGGTAGTTTGTTAAACCCAAAATTGGAGTGTGACTCGATCAAATCCCTTCCTCTCTCATCGCAATTAACAAATCGAGGGCCACCTCAACATTTCCGTCACTGGATTCCAAAACAGACAAATTGGCAGCCTCGTCCGTAAAGCCAAACTCATTCAATTGCACCAATTGAGATGCGAATCGAGAGCTGAAACGATTCAGTGGCATTTGGCAACTAAGCACTGGGACCTATGACGATAGAAAAAACGATTAGGACGAAACAAAACACCTACCGCAACTGCAAGATGTGATCGGAAGGTCCGGGGTTAGGCTCAGAAGCCGCTGGTGCCGCAGGTGCAGCAGGTGCCGGCGGTGGCGTAGCAACAAGAGATGCAGGACGAGATGTAGTGCTAGTACCACTACGTCCTGATCCACCAGGCATAGCACCTCCAAACGCTATCGCCATGGCCTGAATCAAATATAGAAAGCAAACGAATATAACCGGCTGGGCAGAGCCATGACCTTCAGTGACTCGGATATTTGCAACCTCACTAGCACAGAAGCTCTTACAATGATTTCAGCTACCACTAATTCTTGAAAGTCACCTGTCTCAGCATTTCCTGAGTAATCTGAGGAGGTTCTGCTGGAGAGGGTGAACCATCCGCTTGAACACGCGGTGTACGCTAAACAGTAACATTAAAATAAGTCCAAACTATTCGAATACGAAAAAAAGCTGCGTATAAAAGAAATTTCTTCCACTAGAATCCAGGATGCGATCTCTACTAATTCGACAAATTCCCAAAAGAATCCGCTATCGGTAGATCGTAATCCGGCATACCTGAGATGATCCTCTCCCTCTCTGGGCATGTTTCTTCAATAGCGAATTGATTGCTGGTAAAAGAGCCGGATGCTGGGCGTGGAATTTGCGCAGCTGAAGTAGATTCATCGTTACTGTTCAAAAAACTTGGGAATTTCGTCATAGTAAGCGTCCTCACTTTTGCGATTCCTTCTTCATCACTAGGCAACGTCACCATGCCTTTGATGATGTAATAGTCTTGAAGAATATGACATGCAACCGGGTCACTTCGGAGATCCGGGAACTGTTTCATGATTTTCGATAAGAACTCCGGTTCAACAACTTCGGCCATTAAACGCATATGCATCTAGAACATAGACTGCAGTGAGTCTGGACTAAACACTGCCAAATTACCCTTCCTGCCCCCACTAACAACCCTATCCAACTCTGACCTTCTTTTCTTAGTTAATTGTGCTCTAACTCCGCATGTTTTGAATAATAAAACCGACTCTACTGTATGCTTGCGGCGCTTCGATAAAACAAAAAAAAAAGAATTCAATAGAAGATAACGTAGGAAGTCATCTTGTCAGAGTGAACTCACATATCCAGACTCCTCCTTCTGAAGATAATCGAACAAACGGTCACATTCACGAAGTAACGAGTCGTCGCAAGGCTGTACAAGAAAAATGCACGCTAGTGAAACAAGCGAAAATACAAGAGTCGAACCCAAAACTTTCAAATGAAAATGCTCCCTGACCTGATTCACCATTGGGGTACCACCTCCCTGAAGTACACGTAGTGTGTCAGTTTCACGAAAGTTATGGGAGCTCAACTGCATATCTAACGGGAGAAATCGACCAGTATGGCTCAGAACTGTAATTAGACCATCAATGAAAAACCATATAGATAAGCATGATAAACATCACTGAAGCAGTTCGAAGAAAGTTATGGGCACAGCTCCGCTTTTAGGTGAATTGTCTCAAATTCACGGAAAGCAAAAACAGATCTGATTATCTCAATTACCATAGGCCCACCCTTACGGCTTTAGCACCAGAGAAGTACCTGAACGATCTGGTTCACTCTTCGTAACCTCTTTGATGACATCTCTAGCTGTGAGTGAATTGAGCCTATCCAATGTATACGTGGTGCATTCTCTGCCGTAGTAAACCTTCACCATGTCTGAAGAAACTCCACTCATAAAGATACATTCAATCCTACAATGAAAAGTAGTGGCTTCAGGACCTCACGTTCTTCAAATCGCCAAGATTTCATTGCATATTTATTAAATATTCCGCTGAGAGTGAATCTCGCACATTTTCATTGAGAGCATGAAAGTGATAGGAAAATACTAGCCTAATAAGGCATTCGTAGACACAATCCATTTCAGTCAAACCGGATAGAGTGACGAAGATTACTATGTGCAAAAAGAAAGCACAAATATACAGTCAAAAGATTGATTTGTGTACAAATAGGCGAACAAATTGAAATCTCCACCGTTCATACAGCAGAAAGAGCCATAAGTTTGGCATTGAGAGGATTTTGAGGAGACTTTAGCCACTCCTTTTTGAGAAGCTGCTTTAGCTGAGACAGGCGATATGTTGGGTGTTCTTGCTTGAGGCGCGGTAACATTGCTTCTTCGAAAGCCTGAACAATTGGATATAAAGAATGAAAAACCCTATTTCCTCACAATAAAGCACTACATCAAAAGAGTGTGGAGTAAAACAGCCATGACAAATACCCTTTTGATCAATTAGTCAAACATTTTTCCTAATAAGGGAGAAATTCGAGCATAAAACTACTTACTAGATAAGCGGCCTTCATTCGCTTCTCAGGATGCTTGTCGATTCCTTCGCGGTCACCACCAAGAACTTGAATGGCGTCCTCAACAGTCCTAGCCGTTGCTGTTCCCACTTCCAGCTGATTCATGTTTTCCTCAAGATGATCGACGACCTTAAACGAAACTGTTCACTCATATCCATGGACTGTAAAAGGATTGAACCTCCTTTGTGTACAGTGCTGTTTTACGAATATCCACAATATTTTTTGTCAATCAAACGAGAACTCAATCTGGAACCGGAATTTCCAATGGGATCACCAAGATTGAACTCGTAGAGTATTCAAATATAGAAAGTGGGGATATGATACATCTATCTGAACCTCTCTGAAACTTTCAAAACGTGACTGGTGGAATGGAATCTGAAATTTCCCCTAACTAAGCCTTGCCAGAAAGTTTGCATTATGATCTAGGAGACCTGTAACGTGAAGTTAATTGAAGAAGATAAAGTTTTACAACACCTCAATCTTTTCGGCAGCTAATTTAGCACGCGCCTCCTCTTCTTTCTGCAAGCGTAGTTCGGCTTCCCGACGTTCATCGATGGTGGCTCTAAGAAAACAAAATAAATTTAATGTGTTAAACTAAACAAAGAAAATATTCAAAATGTGGCCCTCAAAGTATTCCGTTAACCTGGTAACTTTCTGCGGTTGAGCATTCGACTTTGACGCTGCAAGTTTGGCCATCTCAGCTTCGGCGAGTTTACGATTTTCTTCTTTCCGTTTCAAAGCTTCCATTCTCTTCCGTTCTTCCTCCTCCTGAACGATACCACTTTTCTGAGAACCAGACAAATAGCTGTAAATGACATACCTTTCTCTGAAGCTTTCTATTGATTAGTTTATCGTCATCCGCCCAGTAAGCATCCTCAGCGGCCTTGAAACTAGGATAGATATATAGAGCGTCATGTCAAGAATACTTGCAAATATAATTGACCTTTTGCTTCTTCTCTTGCTCATCTTTCTTCGCTGCTGCCTTACGCTCACGAGAGGCAATTACTTTGGGATTTTCATTAGCAAATTTCTTCGGCATATCGAATTCTACCTCCAATATTACTTTTGAGAAAAGAAATATTGACAGAAAGATTGCATTAGGAACTACCTCAACAGTTGAAGAGAGATTGCACACGAAAAGTTGAAAAGTTCTACTTGATGCGGGTCATTCTGCGGTAAGCATTCTCTGTCATCGTACAGAGAAAGCGACACATACATGATTTTGTCTGAGACTACGTATGATACGCGTAGCAAAGAGCAGAAGAAATAACAAGTTTTACGGCATGGTGCATCGGCACGACTAAGGATATTTGAATAGAATTTTGCCTTCCTTTCGTTTTCACAAGTCTCCCTTCCAGTCGGTTACAGGTGAGCTGGAACAATATTCGCTTCTTCCAATCCAGGGGCACCAATCGATAATCTCTCTGACGAGTGGGCAACACAGGTTCTGAAGGACCGGGTATCCACAAGGTTTAGGCATCAACTCGTACCAGTTAACGACTCCTAAACGGCGTCTCACATATTATTCAGGCAAACTGGGAACACTTATTACCCGCTTCGAGGCTGAAGGGTTAGAATTGGTCAAGCTCCCTGATGCAGCAGAAGAGATCCCTTAGGCAAACCCCAGAAAAAGAAATCCGTGAGCCAAACTCCAGTTACTCCTAGAAGGTGTTGGAGCCATCGAAACAACAACATCGAAAATTGAGGAGAAGCGGAAGGATTATGCCGAAGCAATGGACAGCCTAGCCACACCTAGCCCAAAGGATGTCGACGACTTTGGAATATACTTATCATCCCCAAATCCACCATATTCCCCCGACTTGGCTCCCTCGGATTACCACCTTTTTTCCATTTCCAACTTTATCTGGATTGTCAAGGCTTTCAAACCCGCGACGACTTCAAAATGGCACTTGAGCAGCTATTCGAGGCCAGCCACCAGCGTCTGAAGCAAGGGCATCTACGATCTGCCCGAGCGTTGACAGAAGATCATTGAGCAATGGGGCATATTTCGAATGATTTGCAGTTGTCGTTTGAAAAATGTAAAAAACATAATCATTGTGAATCTGTCCGAGGACTTATGACTCAACCAATAGCGTATAATACAGTGCTTTTTATAATTATAAGGCCATCCTTGAATTTTGCACTTTCAGAAGAAGCAATCATTTAGGATTTTTTCTGGCATTTTTTCTTTGATGAACTTATCCCCAAGCACGAATAACCTAGGTATCCGTTTTTTATCAACAGATACATTTTCTGAACTTTTTGGAACAGTTTATCGGTTTTTGCGTTATTTCATAATTATAAGGTCTCCCTGAGAAAGTGAATAATTATTCATGGACGAGGAGAGAGATATACTACATCCATATAAGGAGATTTCGTCTTTCAAGATACTTACAAAGGTGACCATGTGCAGTAAATGCATCTTCCTGGATGATCTTCCCCGATGTCCCTAGATGTGATACCAGCTGTGGACGCCCGAGCAAAGTTACTGTCCGTGACGAGAGAAGGATTCTGAGGGCTGTTTCCAACAGTACGTCCTCCTTGAACCAGATCCCATTGGAATTAAATCTCTCCGTGTCCAAAACTGCAGTCTGGAGAGCAGTAAGAAGAGAAACAGAACACGAGAACACACCAAGCAAGCAACGAAGAAGGCGCCACGAATCACAGAGAGGCTCGACTCGAATTTGCAAAAACGAACCGGAGGGAGGGATTGAGCAAAGGTAGGTCAGCATCAAAATCTCACAATACGGCCGAATAATTTCCATGCAGGTTGTCTTTTTAGATGAAAATGAACTCAATTTGGATTGGGGAAAACAAGAACTACGAGCGAGATTTGAGGAAGGAAGCAGTCTAATTCAGCCGTCGCAATGTCGGTGGAGGATGTCTTATGTTGTGGGGTGCATTCTGCAATGATGTCGTGTTGGATCTAGCTTTCGTGAGCTCAGAATGGATTCCAGGGATTACCAGAATGTCTTGCAGCACCATTTGGTGCCCTTTCTAAGCCGTTGCCGTCACCTCAACTATGTCTTTCAACAAGACAACTCCTCCATTCATGTGAGCCGTGCAACGAATGCGTGGCTGCAATGCCAAAACATAAGCGTCCCATTAGCGCTGAGTACCCTATTCTATGAGCCGTCCCGTTACTGTCATGGCCGGCATGCAGCCCGGACCTAAACCCCATCGAAAATATCTGGGGTGTATTAGTGCGTATAATCTACGCAAATGGTAAAGTGTATGACAATGTTAATTTGTAGAGAAGAGCCATGACTATGGAGTGTGAGAGTCTGTCGCCTGTTCTCCTGAAGAAGCTCTGCGATTCTATGCCTGATCAGATCTTGGAGCTTATTTGGAAGAAGGAAGGCTGCAGTCATTATAAGATAATCTTGCAGTAGAAAGCGAATTAATCGGGTTTCAGGTGTTGTTTCTTTTTGGTTGTCTGTGCATATCGCCCAATCTAATATGCATCGGCTTAGAAGTGTAGAATTGTTGCTAAGAATTTGAAGGAAGATGTATAGTCAAATAGTTACCACGGAAAATGATATTTTCCCTATTCTAGTCATATTTTGCCAGCGGAAGCAATAAAAATTTTGGCTTCTCTCTAAAACTAGTTTTCTATGGGGTACGATCTATTGTGCACCGCAGTAGATTGGAAGATAAGTCCTGCAACACTTTGAATATGCTTATCTCTCCTTTGTGGTGCTTATCCTTTTCTTGTGAAGTTTCGATACATATCACTTGGCTCTCTTTATAATCTAGCTTTACATCACTTGGTCTCATGTGATTGTCCTTATCAGTGAATTGGTTCGCAATGCATAGTTATTTGTAATAAATCAGTATACCTTTACCTAGATATGCGCACCTCTCGAGAGGTAGATTAGGTAGAGCACCTTGGTTCGGCGGGGAGGTAGGTTATGTCGCCTATGCTATAGGACGTGGGGTGGGTGTAGTGGTCCAGAGAGCCAGCAGGTCTGAGGGCCCGAACTACCGTAGCGAATCGCGTTCAGAGGGTGGCCCACTCCATGGCACAAGACATCCCATGGAAGCGGAGAGGCTGCGACGGCGACTAAAGGACTTCGCTAGCCACATTTATACGCTGCACGGTATGTTTCGCTGGACGATGTAAACATGTCTCGAAGGTAAAAATTCCTCTCCAGCGGATGGAAGTATCGAGGCTTTTAAGGACTTCAAAGAAATATTTTGTACATTTGGAACCACTCAAAAAAATTGAGGAAAGGTTCTCTGCTCCCTACAATCTTTACGTTCAAGGGAAAAAATGTGACCTGGCGATTCGGGGTCCCTACAGCCCTCTAGCAAGTAATTTTTCACTGATCAGCTATTAGGTTGGAAGTTGAGTCCTGCAACACTTATCATGTTCCTCAAGGGTAACTCAAAACCCGTTCCAAATGTGAAATCAATTAACATCAAATATTAACAAAAATATTGAACCAAAATCAATAAAACTATCAAATATGAAATACAAAATTTTGGCCAAAGTGTTGCAAGACTATTTTTCAATCTTATATTAGCTGGAGCCCCGATGCTCGCCTAGATAAAGGCAATAGTCGACTTTCTGTTGAAGCAAGTGAGTTGCTTTAGAGTCTGACTCCGGAAATATCTGAACTAAACTGAAAACCTAAACAAGAGAGCTCTAGTTCGTTGCTTCAACTATACCATTGTCTGCATCCCATTCTATGATTGAGACAAACACTTCTGTAACTTAGGTATCTTCCACTGTCAGAGGTGATTCTTGTGTTACGTTTTGTGAGGCCAAGGAGCTTTCGTATTCCATATGGGTGTTGCCGACTAAACTGTTTCCTCCTTTTTACCCGTCTCGCTCATTATTTGGCCTTTGAATTCCTGTGTTCCGCTGTTTATCTACCCTACGAGCAAATTTTTCCAATCCCACCCTAGGCCGCCTAAGGTGATATTCTCAAGATTCAGATTCAGTGAAAAAGCCATTTCAGTTTCCCTTGATCTTAGGCTTCAGAAATAGAAAACGTTTTCATGTTTCGGATCAAATCACACCAGCATCCGTGAAACCATAAGTTATAGCATACCCTGAAATCCTAGATATGATCGATGTCTTGCAAAATAAATGAAGATGGGAGGCAAGAATTTAATGCTCCTGAACAGTTCTTCTGAATCCGTTATTTTTTGAAGGTTTTGTTGCATACAAACCTAGTGGTTCGCCAAGAAGAAGTTTTTCAAGTCAAAAGGTTCCGGTTCCGAAGCACATTGAACCATTCAGTGCGTCACAGCCACTTGGAATTGATGAAATGTAGCTTTTTGAAGTAAGTTTGCCTTTTCTACTGTATCACATGGGATGTTTGCCCCCACGAAAACACCCGAGTCATGTGGTGAAATCCCCTGAACAAACTGTTTTGTCAGCATCTGAACTGAAATGTTTTGATAACAGTTTAAAAAATGTTAAGATGACGAGATCGGGAATCAGGGAGATAATTAATGAAGTGATGCGATCCCAGTTGCTCTTATGGGCGGCATCCCTTTGATCAAATGAACAAAGCGAAGCGCTGAACTAATATATTTTCTTTATCAAGGCGACATATGACCGATTTTTGCGACTTCTTCAAGTTTTCTATTCTATCTTACGCCTTGATTTCAATGAAGAAAAGGCATTCCTCAGAATACGTATTCAGTGGGACCCAATCCACTGAGAAGTATAAGAGTTGAAGATTACAGCTAAGGTTCTATTCCCAAAATCTGATGACCCTCAAAGAGTTGATGCCCAGTCGGTAACCACGTAGAAGCAAAATGGGCGTTCTGTGCACAGCGCCCTCTGGGCTTTGAGAGCGACCATAAATGAGGCTTCATGAGACAATTCGCTGAGCAGCTGAGTCGCTTTTTGACTCTGAACACAATCACAGCGAATAATCAGAAATGTATAGCTAGCGATTATCAGTTTTATCACTGGTTCCAGAAGATTCGGGTGGTTTTTCCGAATATTCTTCTTCTAAAATTGGAGTCGTTGGATGTAGAGCTAGCCAATAAGCTTCTAAGAATTTGAAAATCTTGTTTGTCGCTTCGTGAAGTCCGTTGTCTTCGATAATAACATCAACCTAAAACATCGGGAACGCTGTCGCCTGTCCATAGAACATGGTTCAAAGTTTTTGAGTCACATACCTGATCAGGAGCTAACTGGTTGAGAAAATCGGCTCCGGCGATAGCACTGTGGCCTTTGATGCCAGTCTTTTTCAACAACTTTAACAAAATCTATAAAAAATTAACTTTCAGACTAGCCTTACATAGGCTAATGTTCAGCTCCACCCACAACTGCCAGTTCCTCCCGAAGGAGGTCATTGCTGATAAGGGATGTCAGATTTCGCCCTACCTTACGATTACTGATTCTGAATAGAAGTAGAATTGGAGCCATATTCAGATGAGCAACATCGCCTGGTGTGCTGATGTTAGGACATTCGAGAAGTATAAGGTGGAGATCTTCCGTCATAGCAGTAATTAAGCGAAGTTCTCGTTCATTAATATCTGAAGGTGCATATTATGCCGCAATTTAATTCGATCAAGTTCTAGTATTATCTGATAAATAAATAAATAAGTAAATACAGGGTGCGTAATAAATATGGTAACAACTTTTCGAACGTTCGTATCTTGTCAGGAGGGTTTCTTCTCCCTCCCGACAAGATACGATTTCTTCTCTTTCTCCAAATCTGCACCTCCCCTTATATTTATGATATATCTTATACTATATATTTATTTTGGTGCTCTCAATTCGTTAGATTTCGAAAAACGGTGGAGCCTCGCAAACATCCACCAGCCGTTCCGTCTTTGAGCGCAATTGGTGCCCTTTCCGAAACCGCTCCTCGTTTCAATATTTCCCACAGTGACAGTCTTTCGAATTGCGATGCGTAGAAAGCTCAGCGGCAAACCTCAAGACGGTCTCCTGCCTCACAACAACCCTTTTTCCGAATAGAATTGCTTGGGAAGGAGTACGCTGCAAAACCTGCAGAAATGCGAGAAATATGACTGCTGATTTGTTTGTATGTTCTACTCCGATAAGAACAGTCTACCGCGAGTGAATACAATTGTATTCAGTTAAGATTTGAAAGCCCTAGTAGCTTCTTGACGAGAAGAATTGAGAGAGAAAAAACAAATGCCGTACGCTACTTGCGCGCGGCACGCTTCGACAAACCTTTTTTTGATTGAAGTGTGTTCAGCGTGTAAGAAATGTTGAGATCCTATAGTATAAATTCGAGTGCTGTAGCCACTGAGATGAGTTAGATCGCCTCTCATGGCCATTTCCCCTCTTTGATGATAGTCTTTGCTAGAATCTCTACCATCAGAGCGATATCTCAAATTTTGGTCGAAAAAAGTGCAAAATTTCATCCAAAACTCTTTAAGAAGGATCTTTTTGAAAGGTTGTAGATGAGGGTCAAAAATGTTTCAAGGGATACAATTGAAAGCTACGGCGCACTTGCTCACAAATGGGAAATGGGAAGATGGGTGCTGAGGGAATGTTCGCGATTTTGTCCCTGCTTCCAATCCTCCTAGGAATTTCCCGGATCACAGCGTGATGGGTAGCTGGATATAGTCCATACTGGCGAGGAAAGCCTGCGCTTCAAAACGCACCACTGTTGCTGTTCCTGATAAATTAATGAAAAAAGTCCGGGCTAGTGTTTCTCAAGAAACTCTGCGTGCCACCGTCGATGAGTAGCCGAAGCGTCTTCGAGCTATAACTAGTACAGGAGACGGTTATATAAAATGACCGTGTTTTGGTTTTGTACATGTGATGCATAGTAAATAACCCACAAGAATTCACCATGTATCAAAATGAGCTGCGCTTTTTGTAGCCCAATTCTTTTGTTACCATATTTATGGCGCACCCTGTAAATAAATAAATAAATAAATAGCAGCTGTTGCATTTATTCGAAACAGGCTTACAGTAGCCGCTTTCGTTTTCCAAAAGTCATCAGTTTATAAGATATAAGAAAACTAGCTGTACGAGTAATGATTATGGAATCTCAATGCAACTAGCCTACTCTCGCTTTTGATGAACCCTTTTCACCGATATCGGTTGTCAGACGTCGAACACGGCTTCCGAACTTTTTCACTATTGCTGACCTGAAAGTTCCGTTAGAGCCAGTAACGAATGAAGAAGTTATACGGCCATATTTGCATCGTATTGCTTCAGAAAGATGACTTGCAGTGAACTGTGGAAGTACACTTTGTATGTGTAAGTTACCTCGGCTACATCGCATTAATGTACCTCGTAGTAAATCCCAAAGCTAGAAGTTTGTTTTGAAAAACAAGAAATTCTTACCGTACAGCAGCATGCATGAGCTGTGTGAGACGTGATGATTGGTAACATGGTCCGAGAAGAATAATTGGACGAGTTGACGGGACGACTGTATATGGATTTGGATATTCCCAGATCTCGGCTTCCCTTGCCCTGAACTCAGGAAATTTATTACGCGGTCTCTTGAAGACGCACCTAACCTGTGGAATAGCCTTACACCATCGGACAGTGCCAAGAATGGGGATACCATGAGGCAGTTAAAAACTGTTCCCAATCAGTGGTTTCTACTCCTGCTACATATTCGACTCCACCATAACTCCAAGCAAGTTTCCAGCAAAAATTCCGTCTTCAACCGGACCAACATTGGCTTGTGCCCAATTAAGCGGTTAGTGTATAGATGTCATAAACAGTTAGAATCCCAGTAGTTCCTGTAGATTGTTGGCACAATACTCCCCTTTGCAATACAATAATAAAATGGTGCACGGCTGAATGCCCTCATTAGGCTTCAAAGCCCATCCTAACTGCATTGTCTTCCACTTCACCCTTAAGAATGTCAGCACTTAAGAGCATCTCAAAAAAGCAGATGTTACCCTAGAACAAAGGAAAAGGATGCGTTGCTGGTAAGGTCATTGGGTTGCATTACAGTGGTTCCCACGGTAGGAGACAAACACATCTCAAAGCGACCATTTAGGAATCTCTTCTGTCATTGGGTCTACAAACCCGATGATTCACACCGTTTTTTTCTCGTAAGGCCAACTACAACTTGGGCAGATCACACAGGGCCTCAGTAGATTCTATGCTGTCTACAGACTCGCTGAATATACAGTAGAACTCTGAGTCTAGGGTTTGGCTTCCAGATTGCAGCAAAAGCGTTCTGTTTACTTGAGTGAGTTCCTTGGATTTGCTTAGGCACGATGTTCGAGCAGAACTTTTTGACGTTTACCAGTGAACTATAAATATTCCTCAGTAATTAGGCGTAGAGACTTCTCACACAATCGTGTTCTTATCAGTAGATTTTTCTCTTTCGTCTACTTGCTCTTCGGTCAGCCGTGCTAGTCGTCTAGCAGTGGGTACGAAGCCGATCGTCGACTCTGCCGCGACAACTCGTCCGATCCACCAATCGTGGGTATAGCGCTGAAAGTGCAAGTTATAAGTATATGTTGCGTTCAAGTCCAGTAAGAGACTGTGATTAGCCATTTAGGAACGAAAAGTACAATTAGAGTACAATGATTCTGCAAATAAACGTTGCTTAGCTCTACTTATGTCAGTTCTGATCCCAAAGATGAATATTTCTATCCTTTCCCAATTGGGGGAGTCCTGAAATCTCTGACGATCCATTGTCGGTCAATAGACACTCTTAGCTCATCTAATTAGAGCGTTTTTATTTGCACTAATCATTCATTACATCACATTCATGTCGTTTCCTGGCCGCCCCCACTACCCAGCACAACGCAACCACTCTGCCCTAATGAGGACAGATGTTTGCTTGGTGCTAATCCACAACGTTGGCTTATCTGATTATTACATAGCTTATTGTTTAAACGACGGTCACCAATACGCCACATTTAGTCACCTGAGCATATACTGAGCCAAAGCCGGGCCGGGCGAGATAAGCGCTTTGCTCCAGTGGGTGCATTACCGTACCCCACGAAAGTTAAAGGCAAGCCGCACCAAATCGGCCTTCTTCACAGATTCGCCAAAATATTGCTGCCCTTCCATTCCACCAGAAAAGAATGATTGATTCGATGATAACTGAAGTTCCTTTTCGAGATCCACCCCTGATCCTCATCCCGCATAGGATAATCAATAACCTGGGTGACTTTTCGCGAGCTCAACAAAAATGGGAAGCTCTTAGTTTATCCCATGCCCGATGACGGCTTTTCTGGGGTGCGCCGCTGTCCAACTAAATCTTGGATAACAACTGTAATGTTTGCTGGACGAGCTAACACAACACTCGGCCAACTAACATATTGACTTGCGCAGATAATCTGATGTTTTACTACTTCTTTCTACTCCACGATGTTACGATGGTTAGTAAATCAACCCATGGAGCCTACAGAAGAGTCAATCCATCTAGATAGTGGCCTTGAATTTATTCAGTTAAAAACAATTTGTTACGACCCCTTTGATAAATTTTCGAAGCGTAACCTGTGAAAGACGTCGTGCAGGGACATAGAAAGTTTTCAAGAAATCAGAAAATTGAAGAAAACAGCTATGTGACGTTACTGTTGATAAAGTGTATATTGCGTGTACCTTGTAAATATGTATGAAGTCTCCCTTCTTGAATGATATTGTCTTCTTTTGAATCGGAGATTCGTCTTCCAGTGCTCCATCGTAAGCGGAATTCGCCCTGACGGCGAACGCTACCTTCAGGTTCTGAACAGAATAATAGCTGTGGAATATCAAAACAAGCTAGAGTAGTAATCCAAAGAGCCACTGGATGGAAGATTCTCAAGATTTTCTCCGTACTGTACTACTGTCAATATACATAGTGTTCGACGGCTGTCCGTCCGGGTTGGAACCTACAAAACTTTTCAAAAAGTACCAAACTTCGTTTCTATCGGCAACGTACTTGAATAACGGATTCCGAACTTGAGGCTTCAGGGGTGGATATGAATTCTATGCCGTAACCGCTAATCCAAGTTCATCAAAATCAGAGAATGAAAGGAATCAGTTTCTCGAAGGGTAAGGGAAATTGCAAGGAGTTTGAGTAGTTCCACGAAGCTCGAAACTACAAGGGGGGGGGGGGTTTCTGGTTCTGAATTTAGGCTTTTAAAGATTTAAAAAAGAGTTATCTAGGTAGATTACCATCATGCATATAATCCTGACCCATCTGTCCACATTTATCATCTTTTAGCTAACGATTCGAGCGACCATCGTACGTGAGACTAATCCCATACATGCCGAGCGCATCTTCCGTCACCACCTTTACACCTACCGTATCAGGGTCAGACTATTTGTACGTATAAAAGAACGGATGTGTGGCCGATTTTCTGTCTTCCCGGGCCAACTACGACAACAATGCCATCGCGTGCTAATTCGACAACACCTGTACAGAGTTGAGCTGTTCGACTACCGTATTCGAGTAAACACTTGGAACACGCCATGTCTTACATAAAGCAATGGTATTCAATACATAAGTTGTCAAGCAAAAAATACTACCATCGGTTGGTGTTGTCTATGTATGCTCAACCTTCCTGTGGTTACGTGAATCTGACTTCATTGAGGTCATATGTAAACCTGAAGGTCATATAAAACGCCACAGCTTCAAATTCAACGAGCGTAGGGCTTTCGAGGGCTCTTCATGTGGTCGCTGTTTAGGCTTAACCCGAGGACCTTTTCAGGAGGTCTCGGAGGGAATGGACCCATCCAAAACAGGATTCAATTTGTCGTAAAGCCCAGGAATGGCAGAGGACGGGTTGGGTTTGAGATGGAGGTCAGTTTACTTCCCAATTCAGCACCGAAATGTCAATCAAGTTCCAAGTAATCACGAAAGATAAACTCGACTATAAACTAGTTATCCTCAACCCTGGGTCTACCAGAAGTTTTCAGTTTCATAAATACCCGATTCTATTCCCAGAGTTGGTACTGTGTAAAGTGCTTACTGGGAAAGGTACTGAGCTGGTAGAGCTTTTACTCCTATCTTCTTCAGCGAGCGAGTTAAACATGCTGCAACTTCTCAGATCCCCCTCCCCCCTCCCCTTCTATGGCTTCTAAGAGTTTCCATTTGTTGATTTAGATCAGTTTTGATGGCTCATAGAAAATCCATTACTTTATCCTCCCGACAAACGTTGAAGCACTTAAGGCCACACCTTGTAGCCTTTACCTAGGTGTAATTATGTCAATTAAGGTGCACTATCATCAGGAACGCACCTGTGCAATCATTCATGCATCATGTTGAGATCAAAGCAACCCCGATTCAGGGGTTCAAACATCACCTCGTAATATAACACTGTGCAAATGGTACCGATCAACACCCACGGATTGAGGTCTCTTTCGAATGTCGCCGCCCAATCGTTGAAGACGGCTCGGAACCCTGGACAGGGTCAAGTTTTCTTTTGAAATTCCATGACAACCCCGTTTAGGACGGCCTGATAGTATCGCCCTTGAAGTTTCGTGGTTGTCGTGGTCGTCGCGCTCAGCTCATCAAATTTATTGAACGTGCTGATGGATGAGGTGTGGCATGTTTTCATGGGAGATAGTAGATTCAAATTGTTTCCCATGCATATGATAATTATTGATCGCAGATGATGATAGCCACAATGTGGCGATTTGTAACGAATGCCTTCGAGCCCATTAGGTTCGACCACATAAATGAGAACGATTACGATCGTCTAATGAGTTTAAACAATAGCTAGTAGTAAACGGAATCTATAGACGATGGCAATAGCAATAGCCTACGCAAATGGCCCTACGATTGGGTTACGAAACTGAGGAAAAAATGGCCAAAGAGGGCAACGCGATGGGTCCACGGTGATTTATGTGATTCACCACAGCGGCACGAAGATTCTGCAGGGCTCGCTGATGTTCTCGTTCTCGTCGAAGAGCTTGACTTTTCTTGGCATCGTGGATAAGACGGAGACCTTGCTGAAATTGGTTACCCTTTGGTGGAACAGTAACTTCTAGGGTACCGTTCGAGCTGACCCTACCTCTTTAGGTGATTCCTTGTAAGAATAGAGGAAATGCTGCAAATTTTCTCTTGCTATAGCATGCATTCCAAAAGTGCAGCAGATGTTTTTAGCTGAAATAAACGTCATAGAAAAGTTCATGATGTCAATCTATCTTCGCCTACCTCTTCGCCTCGTTCTCGTTCTTACTTAGCTGATCCTTAGGGATTTAGCCGATGCGCTGAGGGGCATTGATTGGCCGAGTGAGCGGCGTCGGGTCGGAAGAGGAGTTCTCGTCTTACTCTTCCTTTTGCCGGCAGAGCAGTCACAAACTTCTGGACTTCCGCCGACTGTTGCACCTGGACTTTGTGGCCAATCAGATGGGCATACCCACCCAGCTGCTTCCCAGTTTGGATTTGATTGCATTTCGTCGCATAATTTGTCGAATTCAATTGTCGTCATGCCCAACGAATTCTCTCCATGCTGTTTTCTGCTTGGGTAGCCCGTTTGCGGAAATTCGAATTGGTCCCTATGGAACCTAAACATAAAAACTCAAAAGCTTTGGCTAGGGTCAAAGAAAGCTTTACCAGAAAAGGTTTGGGTGAAGATGCTCAAGTATCGTCTATAAGTCTTATCTGATTTTCTCGCCCATTTGGGGAGCTGAAGAGAGCCATCACCTCATAATTTGGTTTTCCAAATGAATATAGCACCTTATTGATCCATCCTTAAATCATCATGAAGAGCCCTGACGTAATGGCCAGGTGGTCAGCCACTTCACGTTCTCTCACTGTTCAATCTGAGGTCGATGAGGTTAGCTTGAGGTTCAATCATACAACCACATGCATTCATTGCAATGTTTGTGGCGCTGTTAGCTTTAATGAATTTGGTGGTTCGTGAGGATTGATCAAAACTTTCTAATAGTTCTGGCAACAACTATCAAAATCTAATATTTCATCATGAATACATTCTGGGCTCGATCATGACCGTGTAAGCTCTGAGATTTCAAAAAAGGGGCTCTCAAATCTGGGAAAGATCGATTGTTTTTAGATGGAATTTCCGATAAGATTGTGGAACAAGTTAGATTCACAGCGGGGTTCGAACTTTAGAAAGTCCTAAAGTTTCGCTCACTGCTCTCTGCAACTCCGGACGGTTTTGATTTCAATAGACAATAACATAGCTCACTTTTCAGTACTTTTCCCCAATACGTTCAGTTGGGTTGTTTTTAAAAGGAAATTTCATGTGTATATCTTCTATTCTGAGTTATTCGAAATCCACCCGCTAGTACTGTTGCTTTTCCTAACAGCCCACGATCGGGAGCACAGACTTCTCAACATGATAGAGATTCCTTCCTCGAACGCAACCGCAAGTCATCGACTTTAGGCACTGAGCTATGGTACTTGGTCTGTTGGATTGTTTCACGAAATGGGTGGAGGTAAGGTGCTGGTTAAAAAGCACTGCACCATACCGTAAATCCCAAATCAGCCCAGACTAGTTATGTCTTCAAAACTATTTCAGGCCAACAAATTCCCTTCGAACCTATGGGTGAAGGTGGAGACAGTAGGTCTCTCTGACTCATTTTTTACAGGTAACAATTGTTTTTCTTGTACGAGAGTAGAAACCATTTCAAACTCTCCTGCTTTTGATTTTTGTCAACCGACTTCTTGGCTTCCCCTTATGAAATTCACTGAAAAAAGCCCATCACATCCCGGATGTTTTGTAAGAAACCCACATGGAAACTTCAAGATGGTCGTTTCAGGCTTGCCGCCTGACAAGGTCATTCCGCAATATGTCCTGCAAAATGGCAACTCCCATTTGAGACAGCAAATCACTCATGTTCAACGGTTTTTCGGCACTTTGACAAAGAGAGATGAGCTCTTTAGGCCGTTGAATCCTTCAACTTCTGCCACTTTCATATCTTTCCATGTCATTCCACTCAGCTTTGAGTTTGCCATGATGCCCTACTTTCAAAGGCTCTCTCCCTGGTACGAACTACCACTTATGTGCCCGTTACAATTGAGACAAGAACTAATTGGTATTCATAATTAGTAGTTACGAAAATAATAACCTATTTGATGCATGGGCTAGCCTGTTTATGTGGTTTTCTGGATTCCTTTACCAGCACCATTGAATAAGATCCCTTAAACATTCAGCACCGTCATCCACCTGCTGAAGCTGTAAGAATTGAGCAGATTGGCCAAATATGGCCGTGTCATCGTGTTCAGAAACAATAAGGCTTTTGTCATTAGGACATTGACATGTCGTTCGTCATTGTCACATCGTTGTCTGACCCGGCGCTAACCGTAATCGCCCCGACGTTTTCATTTCCAGCTTCTTCTTTCGCAGTCCAAAGCGAATCCATGCCTTTACATCATCGCCTTCTGAAAATTTCTGACAATCATGCACTTGAATTACCTAAGATGTTAGAAGTCTTCAAGAAACTGCAGCTGAGATGTTTCTTTCACCTGATGGTTCTTTAATTTAAGTCCTCTGCGGCACTTTCGGATACGCCAGTAGTTGCGTGAGGAGTTTCGTTTTGAAAACCAAATAGAACGGAACAAATTTGTTGAGATAGAAACTCAAATACAACAACTTTTGACTTCAAACACTCTTACGTCAAGGGAGTTCATCGCTGAACACAAATTTNAGAAACAATAAGGCTTTTGTCATTAGGACATTGACATGTCGTTCGTCATTGTCACATCGTTGTCTGACCCGGCGCTAACCGTAATCGCCCCGGCGTTTCCATTTCCAGCTTCTTCTTTCAAAGACTACAACGAATCTATGCCTCCATATCCCCTCATCCTTCCGATTTCCTATTTCTGACACTCATGCACTTGTATTGCTTGAGACACTTAAAGTCTGGAAAAAACTCTAGTCCAGCTTTTTCTTTGGCCTTTGGGTCATTTAGGTTAAGTCCTCTGCCATGCTTTCGGGTTTCGGGTTTGCCTGAGAAGGTTTTGTATTGAAAACCTTTTTCGAGCTAGAAAAACGGAACATACTCCTTGGGATAACTCAAATACAACGACTTTCGAGCTCAAACATCCTGACTTTCTGAGAGCTTCTTGCTAAAGACGAAATTTTCTGGTCTTCTTGGATACCTGCTGGAAAAGTGATTTTGAGAGACCAATTTTCCTCTGTAAATCAGCTCTTTATGCGGTTTATGGAATATTTTCATGCCTATAAGCCCTGCCCCCTTCTAATGCTTTAAGTGAGCAGTCAATATCGAACTCCAAAGTTCTTAGGGGCCCTCCAGATCAATCTAGTATGATGCAGTTGATTCAGTATGATTCCTAGAGGATTCCCTGTTAAATATGTTTCCTTCGCGTCTTGCCCTCAGACCTTAAGGCCAGAAATTTGAACAGCTTTCTGACCGTACCCCCATGGGGAGCACTGTTGTAGCTGTTTGCCGTCCAATACTTCATCATTGCTCTGTTGTAGCTTTTTTAACATTGTTTGAAGCTTTGATAAATAATTACATAAATAGATAAACAAAAAATCAATAATTCGATCGGCTACTGATCATGGAGATCAGCAACCTACCGGTAGCCGTGGACTTTTGATCTCTGGTGATCATTTCGTAATTCACTCATTATCGATTTACCCTCGTCACAAGGGAACTCCAGTTCCGTAGGGGTTCCAACCCACCCCAGCCGGCTGTAACGTCCGAACGTTCTTACTATCGGCCTGAAATAAGTTTTCTCTTAATCTATATTACTTTGTGAAGAAAGTATGTATGATTTCAGTCGCGAGAATCATCCATTCGATGATGGATTCATACTTTTTCCTCTTTTTTCTCATATTTCACTATTTCTCTTTGTCTCCTTTCCGTTTATCCGCCTCTAGAATTTCATTTAATTCTTTGAAATTACTGAGATTGCGCCCCTTGACAAAATCTTTTGGAATTTTTTTCTCATTTGTTTCTATAAGGATCGCTGTAAATGTTGCGATTCAAAATTTTCCCATTCAGCAATTACCTACTTTTTGTTGGACTTANTTTTTTTTTCGAATACCTTGTCGAGTCTCATTACTTTGAATTTCACAAAAATTTGAAATATTTTCATTGTAATGAGCCTTAAAGTAATCGTGTAGGGAATTTTTCTCGTGAATCCACCTCCCCCAATGTACTGGCGACGTTAGATCAATTAAGAGTAAATGTGGAACTTGAATGGTATTTATACCTAATAATAGGTTTGAGTCTCCATTCCAGGTCTTTAGGCTCTTCCCAGCAGGTCATGACTCAACTACGGTAGAAACCTTTCACTCCCCGACCCCCATGCTCCTCTCCCCCTTTCAACCTCCTCGTTGTACATCTTTACAACTTCTAGCTACTACTAAGATCCATCGGACTGGGATTCTATTCATTGTGGATGCTGTATGCGCGTGCCGTCTATTGAGCGACGATTTCTTGACTGACATTGATAAATGAGCCAATGGATGAGCCTCTCTGAGGGTCAGTGCCCCGTAGACAGCGGTCAGACAACGCGAGCCTCACTAATTAACACCGCCTCGTCGGAAAAGCTCCAACATCCTGTCAACAAGTGAACGCGATTGTAAAAGAGTGTAGAATCTTATTATGGGACCGTTTGTACCTCTCATAGACATCATGTGGGTCGGATCCCTTCACTATGGACCACCTAAGCATTATTAATGTTTTTATATCACATACTTTGATAGACCGTGATTTTTCTTTGACCGCCAGATTCAAGTAAGCTTCTACTGATTCTCAAAAAGTTCGCAGAGGAGGGCACTGACTAGGGGTGACCCTGGAACTATGGGTGGTTGCATCGGTTCTTTCTGTAGTGCTCCGTGGGGGATCGTAGTGAGATACAACAAAAGTGACCCGACTCGACTATATGGTACCGGAAGGGTAAAGTGGTTCTGATGGAACTTGAAGATGAGTGGGATCGCGAAAAAAACTTACCAAAGTGCCCAAGAAATGAATGATGATGAGGGTGATAGAACTCATACTCCCCCACTTCCCATCTCTACCAACCGTTCTAACCTTCCAACAATAAAAACGTTCATTAGTACAGTTTCCTGTCTGGGAAGGGAAGCACTTATCACGAATCAGCCTTTTGAAACCAAGTATAAGATTTCTGAGACGAAGATGTTGAGGCTTTTATTTCCTCCCAATCCAGCTCTTCACCATAAACGATTTCTCACTTTGAGGAACAGCATCGGGTCAATGGCGCCGGGCTCTTTGCCAACTGTTAACACTTCAATGTGGGGTGGTGTCAGGCAGGCAATGAGTAATGAGATTTCGCTGCACTAACAGCAAGCGACCGGATAAAGTGCTATCAATCTCTGTTATAAAAGATTTGAAGCTGCAAAATGGACAGCTCAAAGGTTGCTTTTCAATATCACTTTTTTCACTGGTTTTCCTGGGCCGCCAATATTCGATCAAATCGGCAGCTGAACAAAAAAGTTTGAGTTGTTATTAAAATAGGATAGATTAGAGAATG